CATGCCAAGCGTCGTCTGCACCGTCGCATGAGCATCTTTAACGGTCCGCGCCCTGTCCCAGACGGTGAACGTGCCTTCCAAGGGTCGCTGAGTCTTCCGCGAACTCATCCCAACCGCCACTGAGGGTTCGTACCGTAGATGGTCCGCTGAATGCGAATCCGGCCAGTCCATTATTAATAATAAGGACAGCCTGGATTCAGTGACATATGCCCGTATCCAATGCTCGTTGAATGTTCGGAGGTGACGCCGTCGAGTCCCTTGCACCTTGGCGTCTCCGTACATCACCTGACCGAGGGTTCGTCGCTTGAACAACTTGGGCGGTGTCACGTCTTTGTCGACGGGTGATAATCCGCAACTACGGAAAAATCACTACACCACATGAGCAAGATGGTACATCTTGCTCCAGTTCCCGTCACTATTACGGGCGAACAAACCGCAAGGTTGTTCGTCGATGGCGTGTTCCGCTATCACGGTCTCCCAGAGACGATTGTCTCGGACCGAGACCCACGGTTCACGGCTGCGTTTTGGAAAACGCTGTTCCCTTTACTGGGAACTTGTCTGCAGATGTCCACTGCGGACCATCCGCAGACAGACGGCCAAACAGAGCGCGTCAATCGAGTGCTCGAGGACACTCTGCGCAGTGTGTGCGCGGCAGCACCACGTACGTGGTCGACGCAGCTTCCAGTTGTTGAGTTTGCACTCAACAACGCGGTGCACGCGTCGACGGGGTTCACGCCGTTCTACTTGAACGGCTTCCGCCACCCCAGAGTGCCTCTCACTCTTCGAGGAGACACTGACTCCTCTATTCTAAGTGGAGGAGAGGCTCGGAAAGCCCTTTCCTCCCAGGTCTCGGATGTGAGACCAGTTTCGCTGCGGAAACAGGTGGAATCCTTTATGGATACCAAGCTGAACATTGTCAGCAGGGTCCGCGATGCCATGGCAGCGGCCCAAGATGAACAAAAGGAGTACTCAGACAAACAAGGAAGAGGAAACTTAAGTATATTTGAGGTTGGGGACTTAGTGTTGCTAGACACGAGGAACCTACCTCTTGACACTGTCAGCTCTGTCGGCAGCAACAAACTGAAGCACCGCTTCATCGGACCTTTTGCAGCCCTGGCCAGACATGGTGCGTCGTACACCATCGACCTTCCAAAGTCAATGACGACGCACCCGACGTTCTATGTCGGACGTCTTAGGCGGTACTTTGACCCGCAGGGGTTGCTGACTCGCAGCCTGGTGAAGGAGATGTCACCACACCGCCCTCATCCGGTCGGGCGCGGTCACGGAGGTAGAGGCGAAGAAGACACAGGGCGTCTGTGACGTCTTCGACGTCGGAAGAGGTGTCCAGCGTGACGAGCGGTGAGGCCCCACGTGATTGCTGTGAGCAGCTGTACACACTCGTGAACGGAGTGACGGGTGAGGTCGAAGGCGACATCAGCCTTGACACTCTGCCCGCTACAGACGCTCTGCTAGAGCTGGACGAGATGTCCATTGCCGAGTTTGGCGAAGCCTTAAAGGCAGGCGAGCTAGCCGAGGTGGTCTTGCTGGGACCTGAGGAGGAGTTGAACTCATCATCCGTCGTGGACGACGCGGTCCTAGAGGACACCAAGAAGGCGCTGAGCGCAAGAAGTGGATCGGCGATCCTCAAAGATCCTTCGGATCCCTTCTACCCGGTGGTGAAGGAGTATGGAGACGTTGTCTCGAAAGACCCACCGACGGGCCTGCCTCCGGATCGAGGCGTGTGTCATGAGATTGACCTGGTTCCTGGAACCAAATACTGCGTAACAAGGCAATGGTCTTTGCCGAGAGAGCAGTGTGACGTCATTGACGCATTCTTCCGTGCGAAGCACGAGGCAGGGATGGTGCGTGAGAGTAAGTCTCCGCACTCGACACCCACGTTCTGTGTCAGAAAGACGAACGGCAAGTGGCGCGTTGTTCATGCTTTTAACAAGCTAAATGCGGCCACTATCCAGGCCCAAACGCCGATTCCTCGCAAGGATGTACAGCTGAACAACATGGTAGGCTGTACGTTGTACAGCGCACTCGACTTGGTCGATGGTTACTACCAATTGCTCATGAGAGCGAGCAGCATTCCGCTGACAGCGGTGAGTACTTCGAGCAGTATGCTCTGGGAGTGGCTGGTGATGCCCCAGGGGCTGTCGAACGCACCAGCAACGCTCAATCGTCTAGTGGCGCAGTTGTTTAGGCCCCACCGGGCGTACGCTCAAACGTACTTTGACGATATATTCGTCCATAGTCGTGCTGAGCACGGGAAGCCAGACGTGGAGAACCACATTGACCACTTGCGAGCGGTGCTCGAGTGCATGCGCACTAATAAGCTGTATGCCAACTTGGACAAGTGCGTCTTTGGCGCGGAGGAAATACCTTTCCTCGGGTGCTTCATTGGGAAGCGAGGCTTAAGGGCAGATCCTGCCAAAGACAAGGCCATCGTGTACTGGCCGGTTCCCAAGAACCAAAAAGACTTACGCAAGTGGCTAGGCTTAGCCAATTACTTGCACACAGCGGAATCTACGCCGAGATGGCTCGGCCATTATCAGATCTCCTTAAGAAGGACGCACCATGGTGCTGGAACGTCGAGCACGACGGGTCCTTTGAGGCTGTGAAGGAGAGCCTCCTCCAGGCTCCGATCCTTGCGCTACCGGACCCGGATAGTCCGTTTAGCGTCGTCTGTGACGCCTCCGATTTTGCAATCGGTTGTGCTTTACTACAAGCAGACGCCGAAGGGCGTGAACGCGTGATTGCGTTTGAGTCTCGCCAGCTCAAAGCTGCAGAGAAGAACTATCCAGTTCATGACAAAGAGCTACTTGCAATGAAGTATGCTCTAGTCAAATTCAAGGTACACCTGCTAGGCTGTAAGCCTTTTGTGATCTTTACTGATCATGCGTCGCTACGCACAGCGACGCAGTCGCCTCATCTCTCTCAGAGAATGGCAAGATGACGTTCCTTCTTTACCGAGTAAAACTTCGAGGTGAAGTACAAGCCGGGGCGGCTTAATGTAGTGGCCGATGCGCTCTTGCGCAGGCCGGACTACGAGTTAGCTCATGTCACGACAGTGACGTCGTCAGTGCCTGACTTGATACGCAGAGCGTATGCACAGGACGACATGTGCGTAGCGCTGCTACGAGCTCTTGGGAGCGAAGAGTTTAAAGACTCTGACAAGGAATTGTCGGGGCGATTACGCGCGAGGCTGCATCGATACTCGCTCGATGGCGGCCTGCTGTACTACAGCACCGACTCTGAGGATAACCCTCGTGTAGTCGTTCCTCATGATGAGGATCTAAAGTATGGAATCCTCTGTGAGGTTCATGATACGCCCGTGGGCGGGCACTTAGGTCGGGAGAAGACTTATGGCTCGGTGAGCTCGATGTACTGGTGGCCCAAGATGTAAAAGTGGGTCGGCACCTATGTACGCACGTGTGAGACGTGTCAACGAACAAAGTTTGCGCCGAGCACGGCAGCGCCATTGGCGAGTTTGCCTGTCCCCAAGGGATGTTGGCAGTCCATGAGTATGGACTTTGTGTTTGGCCTTCCCAAGGATAAGGTGATAAAACGGGTATTGGGGTCATTGTAGACCGATTGAGCAAGATGGCGCATTTAGCGGCGGTGTCGGACACCATTGATGGTGAAGGTACAGCTTTGCACTTTTAGACCGATTCTTTCGCCAACATGGCTTGACTGAGGCAATTGTCTCGGATCGAGACCCGCGCTTCACCGCGAAGTTCTGGACGTCCCTCTTCAGAGTGCTCGGCACACGTTTGGACATGTCCACAGCGGACCATCCACAGACCGATGGTCAAACCGAACGCGTGAATCGCGTTGTGGAGGATACCCTCCGAAGCGTATGCGCTGAGGCGCCAAAACGCTGGAGCCAGATGCTCCCACTCGTTGAGCTCGCATTAAATAATGCAGTGCACTCCTCGACAGGCTACACTCTGTTCTATGTGAACGGCTTGGTTAACCCTCGCGTCCCACTGACGCCGCCACGCAGTGGCTCAGGGCTTGATGGGGGAGGGATAGCCGAGTGGCTAGCTGCAGGGCAGCAGGTGGAAAAGACACGGGAGGCTGAACGACAGCAAGTGGTGGACCCACAGATGGCTGATCAACAGCATGTGGCAGAGCCACAGGTCACAGAGCGAAGTGCTCGAGATGCAGGAGCAAGGCAAGCTGAACGTTCAGCCGAGCGACTGGACGCTCAAGGTCCGAGACCTGGTTGTGAGTCAACAGTGGTGGCTCTAACCTATCCACAAGGTGGATCATCTTTTCGAGATCGACCGATGGGCGGTGAACGTGAACGTTCGCGTCGTGGACGCCAGCGTCGTATGGACGCAGACGCCGTTCCGGCAAGTGCTGACTCTCCCCGCGAGAGCCCAGCTGAGGCAAGGCCTCCTCCCGCTCTGCTCGATGAGCATGGTGAGCTCCACTTTCACGTGGAACGCCTTGTGGCGCGGCGTAGACGCCAGTGTCGTACCCAGTACTTGGTGAGGTGGAGGGGTTACCCCCACTCAGCGTAATGCGTCAAGTACGCGACGCTATGGCTGAAAGCCAAGACTTGCAGAAGGAACATGCAGGTGCCAAGGACAGAAGCAATGTTGAGAGGTTTGAGGTCGGTGACCAAGTTTTATTAAACGCTAAAACCTACCTACTCATGCAGTGTCTGCAGTCCTCGAGACGAAGTTGAGACCTCGGTTCCTAGGACCGTTCAAGGTCGTGGCCAGGAAGGGCCTAGCGTAAGCAGGTGCTTCGTGCTGTGCTGAACAAGGTTCAGGCACCAGCGTCTCGATAGACGCATAGTTTTTTTGACACAACTTGCTCGATGAGCATGATCCAGAATGTGGATGCGCTGTAACAGCGAAAGTGATGTCCCGGGCGGAGATCGAGCCATTGGCCTTTGGCTTTCCAGGCCGGAGCTCTACCATTGAGCTACAAGGGCGATGCCTGTAAGTTTGTCCGAGTACGGACTACTCATTATATGAGAGGGCTGCGCCCGGGTGAATCGATCGACCAACCTGTGGCTTCCAAAGCCAACGCTCAACCACTGAGCTAAAAGGGTGGTGCCCTTAAGCTTGTCCATTCAAGGACAATAGTTCATGGAAGCGTAGGCGTTTGTGAGCTCGTGGAGCTGTACAACGCTGGTGTGAGGTGTAGTAACCTCCGCCGTCTTAACAAGACGTGACCTCGCTGAGGAAAGTTTCGAGAACGGAATGTTCTCATCTTAGTGGGGCAGAGTGTAACGGGGTTACATGGTGTGGAACACACAGGGGTACGGAGTACCCGGAGAGCTAACAAACTCTCAGTACATAAGTTGGAGAGCTAACATACTCTCCGTACATAAGCTGGAGAGCTAACAAGGTCTCTCAGTACGTTGACTGAAAGCTACACGTTATGCATTTAATTAGGTTTAACTATGCTAGATAGTTAAACAGATATATTTACCCCTAGGCGGCTTAGCCGCAATAATAGTAAATTAAACACTTCTGGTTTTGAAGCATAAAAGTTAAGGTATTAACTTTGAGCCCTGGTCTTGGGCTGTAAGTGTCCTTTGGATAAGTTACTTAGTATTAGTGATTCTTTGAGTCGGACGTCTTCCTCTGACGCTAAAGCTACGGCAGCCCCGCTGCACTATCACTATTCTGTAGTGAAAACGACCCCGTTTTCCACTAGCTCCACAATAGCTAGTACACCCCCCCCTCTTGTACCTGCCTCAACAGCACCAGTCATGCCGAAAGCAAAAGGGTGGGAGCGAGAAGAAGAAGTTCATCTATGCCAGGCGCAGGTGAACGTTACAGAGGACCAAACTGTTGGCACAGACCAGTCGATGGCCACCTTTTGGGAGCGCGTTCACACTACTTTCGTGGAGCTTGAAGGAGGCGCAACTTCACGCAACACCAACGCACTTCAGACCCACTGGTCAAACTTGATTCGACCTGACGTCACTTTATGTGCCTCACTCCCTGCTGTTCTACGTACCCTTGGTACCTGAATAGATAAAGAGCTGATTTAACGTGAGCTGTCAGTTCAGGTACTGGCGGAACAGCATAGTGGTTGGAGCGATAACGACGTTGCTCACGAGGCTGCTCTTCGTTTTACAGCAAGAAGAGAGCAGTCTAATAAGAACAGCCTATGTGAGTACAGTACTGGCGACAAGAAGACGCGTTAGCCAACACTCAAGAGGGAGGGGTTTCGGCTACAGCATTGCTTTTCTGTACTGCGGCAAAGCGCCCGCTTCACGCGGGGCATAGCTCAGCCCCGTAAGCGTCATTTATCGAATGAAGAGCGTGCCGAACGGTGTGCTAGTGATGACTGGTCGATAGAGCAGCGTTGAAATTTCAAGGCTAACTGCATGTACTATCCAGCCACTTCCACTCTTCCACTACAGCCAGTGGGATGTCTTTTGGTAGTGCAGACGTAGTGCACCAATCTTGCGTTTTTATGTTCCAAAATTGTCATTCACTACGCTATAAACTACGAACCCATTGCACTACCGGTACAGATTCTCTAATAATTACGTGTTTTACTACTACAAAATTTTGCAAGCAAAAATAAAAAGATATTTAGAATAGTACTAAGCCCAATAACCTTGTACGTAAAATTCTTTGAAAAAATACTACGTATCTTAAAACATCATATTTCTAGCAGCAAGTACTAAAATGACTTTTTAAGACGAAATATGGGTCACAAGGGGCCACAATTGATTCAGCAGCTGCTGAGATCATATATTACGTGTGTGCTCATCAGCACCGCCTACTTAGGCTAACTAACGCAGACACAGGCAGCGAGCGCCCTTTGCGTGGAGTGGTGCTTCGCGGTTGATAATGGGGCAAAATGAAATTTGAACGCCGGATTTAAGAACGATGTGTAGACTACGTATAATGTGTACACCACATTTTGCAATCTTAGCAAATCGACACCACCTTCGCTGCGCTCGGCAGCCAGTAGAACGCGCGCATTTGCGTTACATTTTAGAACCCTAGTCCGTTACGGACGGACTGACGAACGGGCGCAGACCACACTCCACTAGGGAGATTTTACTAGCCATTCGCCGCCGCTACGCGGCGGGGTGGCATGGTTTGTTGTAAATGAGGTGACCACAGCTTTAAGTGCTTCGTAGTATCGCGTGCTTTTGCTTAGGATCTAGTACTTTCAGGTTACGTGTGCGTTCATCCACCCCAGTATGGCGTGATATCGTGCACTTGAACCACCTACCATTTTGTAGTTTCACATGGGCCCGCTCGGTATCGTGGTTTCGTATGCTACCGTTGCTCCTTACTACAGGTTGGATTTCATGTCCTTTGATGGCCCGTGCCCTTCCGTTTCCCTCCTCGCTTCGTGGTTCCCTACTCACGGGTAGCTCACACCACTTAGTGGTTATGCGTAATCACCTTTTATTTCATATGCAAGCTATTCTGTGTTCCTAAGGGGTTTTGCGGGTTTAACAGGTTTCGTGGTTCATAATCATTGATGGCCCATGGCGTCCTATCGCCAATACCTTGCCGACGGGTGTTCTTTCGGAGTTGTGCTGATCCGCCGCCCGTGTACCGTGCTCTATTAGTGTGGCTCCATCTATCGCGCTATCGTGCAATCGTGTTGCGGCTCTGCCATCTATACTATTGTGTATGATTATTACCCGTGCTATCGTGCTCTACAATGGTATCGTGCTCCGCAATGTGCTATTGTGGTCTTCCGAATCCTTCCCCCGTGATTTCGTGGCTGGTCCGCCGTCCGTGCAATTGTGTTATAGTGTACAATCGTCCTCCGTGGTCATGTGATCTCAGGTTCTACACTGGTCTCGTGCTGCATGACTCAGTGATTTCTCGTCTATGGCTCCAGTGGCTGCATGCTCTATCATGGTTTAGTGGTGTGGCCACCGTCCAATCTATCGTGTATTTTGTGGTGTCGCCGTTGGTCTGCCGTCCATTCTATCGTGAGCTACCGTAGGATCGTACTCCTGGCTCGGTGAGATTCGACCCTACCCTGGTATCGTGTTCCAATTCCCGGTGATCTCTCGTTTTTGGTCTTTCGCGGGTTCATGTTTGGTCCGTTGACTGTGCTCCATGTTCTGCCGTAGTGTTATATGAAATTTGCTTTCGTGCACTCTTACCGGTACGTGCTCTACCGTGGCTTCGAACGTGCGTACTCTTCCGTGGACCGTGCTTTCCAGCATGGTGGGGCGTCAATATTTTAATTCCCTCCGTGGCCCGTACGCTCCCGCCACATTCATGTCCTTCTGTCTTTTCCATGACTGCGTGCTCTTCCGTGTTTCATGTTTTTCATATTAAATTGTGGCCCTCTTCAGCTCATTCCTTTTTCGTGGACCGTGCCTTTTCCAGCTTCCGTTTCCATTCCATCGTTTACACAGTCTAACTTCGTGTCCCTCCGTGTTACGTGCTCTTACCTGGATTTCTGGCCTTCAGTGTCCCGCGCTAATTCAATCACAAAAGCTAGTTTAAGTGCATTTGATGTGCGCTACGTATTGTGTTGGAAAGTGCGATCATCGCTTAGGTTCGCAAACTACGCGCGCAAGTACACACTCAACTACGGCTGACGAAAGACGCTCATTTTTTGCTGCGGCGGTGGTGTGTGCTTGTGTGTGTGTTTAAGGAGGGGGGGCTAAAGTGTCAAATCGTACATTCGCTGTTCATTGTAGTTGACATATATTAATAAAAAGTTTCCTAAAAAATTTCTAAAAAGCTAGTATTACTAATAAGTGGATTATGCTACTTCTCTAAAGCAATTGAAAATATTAAAATAGTAGTATTATTGACAAAGCTTACGAAGAAAAAATATTAGCTCAACATTTATTGTGCTTTGCAGATGGAATGTCCATCCGTTTTAAAACCTAGATCGAGCATGGTCGGATCATAAAATCATGCGGAAAAATGAGATGGGAAGAGTCAGGCATCGATTTGTTTTATCTGTGATCGAATTACCGTTTCAAACGGCAAAAAGGGTCGATTTACAGGATATCGATGTGGATTTGACGGTTGATTGATTCCGAGCGGTCGATTTGACCATAGCTTGATTGATCAGCCAGTTTAGCTGTATCGATTTGTACTTTTTACAGACCTCGATTTAATAAAACGACCTCTACTATTTTAAATCGAGCATCAGGCTAAGTTAAAAAGGACAAAGGCATTGAAATGCACAATACATTCACAATTACTTCAATAAGTACTATATTTATAGCAGAAGTGTTACAGTGACTATTTCAGCCTCAATATGCGTCACCAAGTCCAACACCTTTAAATAACAGCTATTAAGAACATATAGTCCGTGTCTGCAAATTGGCGAATCATTCCAGTGCAAAATAACCCGCACACAAGCGGCGCCTTCGCGTGGGGTGCCGCTCCGCGGTTGAAAACCGTGGAAAAATAAAATTTGAACGGTACATTTAAGTACGATATGTAGACCACGTAAATTGTGTACACCACTTAATGTCGATTTTAGCTAATCGGGATCACCATCGCTGCGCTCACCAGCCAGTAAAACGCACTTATTTGCGTAACATGTTATTAACCCTTCCCTCGGACGGACGGACGGACAGACGCAGACAACACTATACTAGGGAGCTTTGACTGGCCGGTCTCCGCCGCCACGCGGCGGAGATGGCAGCTTTTAGTCTAAGGGGAAACGGCACCCGCCTTCGCTTTGCTCCGGCGGAAATATTGTGGTGTAGCGGGATTAGCAAAACCTGCGAGATTGCTGGATCCAACTTACCAACAGCGCCCAGACACCGACTAACGGAGGGAGCCCCCCGATGATCCGTGATCTGCTGAACTTTCCTCACCTTGTGTACCCGTCGGTAGGGCGGAATCTTGGTCTCTCGGTAACTTCCGAAGAGCTCAAGTGGTGAAGCTTAAGTGTCTTGGCGAGACGTGGGGACGGGTGGGGCAGTAGTGGTAAGATCTTCACACTGCGTCCGTAGTTGTTTTCGAATCCTAAGCGAATATTCGAGCTTTGTGGATCCAGGGCCTAGATCTGGGATCTGGCCGTAGGGTTTCCTTGCGGGTGTGTTCCCTTGCCTTGTTTTCCTTTGCGTCGTACTTGCCGCCT